TCCCTAAGAAAACCATTTTAATTCTAAAGCTTCAATTTTACAAAACTCCTGTCCTCCTGCCCCCATTCCCACCACCACACTTTACACCAACTATAACTTAAGGTGACTTTTACCCTTAAAATTTTGCTCACATTAGCCAAAGATTCACAAAAACATTCTCTGGGACACAGTTGTTATTCTACCATTTTGAGGTTAAGAGCCCAACGGTATAGTTGTTAGAACAAGGAAGTTCTCCCTTCCCAGCAGTCAGGAAACCACTCTCAGCTACCCTTTCCTGGCAACCGGAAGTTGATGCAAGGACAGGAAATAATTAATGATTTTCAGCTGTACAAGGAACAGACCTTGTCAGAGATTTTTCTGTTTACAAAAACTTACTCGAGTTGTCTAGAAGGGGTAAGAGTGAAAAAGAATAATTTTTCTTTCTTTTTTTTTTTTAAGAAAAGGTCCTGATGAACCTCAAAGATAGTTTACTTTTGAAATCACTGGGTAGTGACTTCATTCATACAATCCTGGTTATGGATCTGGCAGCCAACATTCTGGCTATTCAAAGGTCATTCTTTGTTCTGAAAATCTGTATCAGCTACTAGCCTGGTGACACACTAGCTCTTGAAATGGTGCAACACAAAGAACAAGGAGGTACAATTTTGCAGCCATATAGCTCACACCCAGAATGGGACAAATAGGTAAATGAAGGCTGAAGCTAAATAATCCTAGGTTGAAGCAAGGACACAAGACATGCAGGTAATCAGGGAAAAATGTCTCATAGGCTCAGGGAATATCAGAGCAGCCACCAACTCAGAAATATCCTGTCCATTCCCCTCCTTTTAAATGTTTCTTTATTCATGATACACCAAGTATTCACATGAGAGTAAGAGAAAGAGAGAGAGGGAGGAGCACCCTCCATAGGGTCTGGTCAGGTCGTGATCCCCTTCCTCCACTCACTGGACCCTGGGCACTCACATGTGTGCCTAACTGACTGGGCTCGGGATCTGAACCACAGTTGCTATATGATATCCAACTCTTCCTCAGCAATACATTACTGCTACAACAGGGGAGCTAGTCTTCCCCTCATATTATGGTCAAGGCTCAAAGTGGCAAAACTGGCCTCAGGCCAAAGAGTCCGTCTGAAAACTTGGTAATTTGCTTCAGTGGAAGGAGTGCTAATGTTACCTTCCTAGTAGTTTAATGAGTTCTGCCAAGGTCAACAGAGATCCATCCCAAACAATACCAGTGGACCCTTAAGGCTTTCCAGGCCCGACAGGAGTAGGGGAAAAGAAAATGTGACTGACCTTCTAAACATCTTTTTTTTTAGACTTTTCAAAGACAAGGGTAAGCCATTAAAGATCGCAGTCTTAAAATAACCAGACTAAGTGTATCCCTTACTTTCCTTTTAGTTCCATTAGTAACCACTGCATTGTACGTTCTAGTAACTACTGTGGCATTAAAAACTGAAATAGCACCACCAGATGTGCTAGATTATCCCAGTCATATGTTCTCCCAACAAGTAAAAGTCACATTGAGAAATATTGTCCAAGTGGTACTAGGAATTAAATCGAATGATCCAATATTCACTTTAACTTAGTCTTGTACTTCTTCAATCCATTCTCCACCCAGCTGGCAGTGTGTTTCAAAATTAAAATTTGATCTTTTCACAATCCTGCTTAAAATTCTCTTTGGTATGCCAAGGCAACTCTTGTTATAGACCAAAACATCAGGTCCTAAGGACACCGGCCCTAGTCTACCCACTTGGCCATCTCTCCTGCCCTGATCACACAGCCATCTGCACTTCAGTGCCCCTGCAGACCCTCCAGAGAAGCCAACTCCTTCCTACCACAACACCTGGGTATGCCATTCCCCATGTTTGGAACGCTGTTTTCTCATTTCTAATCTCTCATCCAGACTTGATCCCCTTACCATGATTTCCTTTCAGCTCTCAGAATAATTACTCCTGTCTTCTTGGGGAAGCCTTTCCTTACCACTATTATCCACCTGAATGCACAGCACTAGGTGGCTCTCCTTTGTAGCATTTCTGCCATTATTCACAGTAAATTATTTTTTATGATTAATGCCTGCTTCCTAGTCAGCCATGTGCCCCAGGAACGAAGCAATCGTATCTGTTTGTGCTCACCCTTGCCACCCTGCTACCTCATAGGGAAGTATGGACTGAATCATTTATTTCACTCAAGAGGAAACACATGATGAACCTCAAGGCTGGGCTTTTAGGAAGACCACGTAACCAGAGGTTATGGGAAAGTTTAAACCACTCCTTTCTTACACAAGCTTTCAGCATTTCGGGTAGATTGAGAGTACTTTCGCAAAGGGAATGGTAGAAAAAAAATAAATCTTTCATAAAGTACTAAGAAAAACAAAACCAAGACTGCCAATACACACAGCCTTTTTCATTTTTTTTTCAGAGTTACTCATTTTCTAATCAATTTTTAATGTTGCTCTTTTCATTACAGTGGTTCTTAACATACTTGAGAACTGCTTTAGCAAAAGGCAGGTCACGACTCCCCAAAGCCACCACTATTGCCACTACCACCACCAAAGAAAGAATTACACTTTTCTCTAAGAGTCTTTTGTTATATTCTTTGTGACAATAAATTACAAGTCCTAGAACAGTGCTGCTCAACAGAAATATAATGCAAGTCACAATTTTCTAGTAATCACATTAAAAGATAAAAAAGAAAAAAGCAAAATAATTTCAATTAATAAGTTCTATTTAACCCAAAATATACAGTATATCATTTTTAACATGTAATCAATATTTTTAAAAAATGAAGTAGTTCACATTTTTGCACTAAGTCTTACAAGTCAACTGTATTTTTTTTTCACTTGTACTAAGTCTTAGAAGTTTGTTGTATATTTTTGGGGGCTGGCAGGTGGCATGGTAGTTAAGGGCACTGGACTCCCACATGGCTGACTGTGGTTCGAGGCCTGTACCTGGCAGCTTGCTTCTCTCTCTCTCTATCACTCTCTGGTCAAATGTAAATAAATAAATTAAATTAAACAATTATTTTTTTAAAAGTGTACTATATATTTTTCAACCACAGAATATTTCAGTACCTCTATTCAGACTAGCTAGACATGGGTAGTGACTACCACACCAGACAAAGGAGTCCTACACCTCTATACTTCTGATAAATTATTTGCTTTCTTCCTTCCTTTAAAAAAAACTTGTAGAAAAGGCCTTTAATGTTATTTATATCAAACAGAAAAGCACCCAGCAGAGGACACAAGTATAAACACTACAAACAACTGGAAATCAAAAGGAAGAGACTGATGGTTATATGTGCATTAATGTAATGATACCTTCTTAATTCATTCATGACTTTAAAAGCTTTCTTCATATGCCAAGGATTCACTGTCACTGGGCAGTGTTTTTCGGTATTATCATCTTTTGAATCGAGAGGCTTCTGATGACCCTGCTTTGTGCATCTGTACATAAAAGGAAAGAACAAAAAAAAAAAAAAAAAGAAAGAAAGAAAGAAAACAAGAAAACCATCTCATTATTAAATATATTTTAGTTTGAGTTTATCAAGTTACAAGAGACACACTGAAAGTCTTCCTCCCCACTCATTTAGTAGAAACCTCACTGATATGCTATCCCGATGGAAGAGTAAGATACAATTCCAAACACTTTCTAATAGTCACTAAGGCTTCAACGACAACAACAAAAAAGTGGGCCATCACCACCCTGGTGTCAATGCTCTGTCTGAGAGAAACACTCGGCAAAAGTTGCTTGGCAGATATCTCCAGATAGAAATGTTCAGAAATTACCTCCTCTGCTGGACATTAACTTCCTTTTACAACCTGCTATAGTCATACATTATTTACAAACCAAGACAGGCACAGGATCCTATTTTATAAAAACTTCGGAAACGTACAATCTGACTTAAATGTTACTATTGGCAAGGATATTTTACCCCACATAGAGAACTACACACTAACAACAGATTAACCAGATTAGTTCATGTTTATTGAGTATTAACCCTATGGCCGACACTGTGCTGGGTAGCCTACTTCGTTATTTAATCCTCACAATTCTGTGAGCTACTATTCTTACTCCTGTTTAGCAGACTCAGAGGTTGAGGGAATAAATAGCTGGGTAGCTTGGAACAGAACAGAGCTGAGTAAGTGCAGCCAGTCTGACTCTCCTTTTCATTCTTCTCACGAATGTTCTATATCACTTCCTACATTAAGGGATATTTAATTTCACATTTAAGTCTGTCATTTTTAAGAGCACAAGGCTACATCAGCATTGTTGTACAAATTATTCTTTCAAGACTTAGGAGCCAAAAAATTAAATAAAATCACGATACCCTGGAAAGAAGCTGAGAATTAATTGCAAATTAATGGACACACATGAATTTTTTGAGGGGATGGTTACACTATAAATTTACTAAAAATCACTGGACTGTGCAATTATAATGGGTGGATTTTATTATACATAAACTATATATCAATAAAGCTATGGTATTAAAAAAATCACAATACCAAATAGAGCCTTAAAAATTATACTTGTGGGACCAGCAGAGAGCGTAATGGCGACGTCACTGGACTCCCAGGTAGTCAACCACAGTTCAAGTTCTGGACCTGGTGGCTTAAACTCATGCCAGGCGCGTGTGCGCGCCCAAGATCCTGAGAGAAAAATGGAGGAGGGATTGTGGCGTGGCCATCCCCCTGGGGGGTGATTTCTCACTTTCTGTCTCTCCGCCTCTCTTTCTGGCAAGTGTACATGCCCTATAGCAAAAACCTCTTAAAAAAAAATTATAAATATATCTGTGTATGCACGTAGCAAATGAATAACAAGTAAATATCATAAGTTATGGCTATACTTCTTTTCCTTTCCTGACTCATTTCTGAAAGGATTATATTATCTGTATAATCATTCTTCAATTCATTCAGCTGACATGTTTTTAGTGACCACCATATACCAAGTACTATTCTTAAAGCACCTCTAATACACCAATGAATGAAACAAAGATCTCTGTCCTCAGAGCGTGGAGTATAGTAGAGAGAAGGGGAAACACAATAAACACAATAAATCAGGACAGCAGATGTGTGTTAGAAAACGGTATGTGCTATTTAGAAAAAGTAGGACAAGGTAAAGAATGAGCAGGGTAGGGTGATGGTGGTGGAAGGATGTCATTTTCAGGAGTAAACAGGTGATCAGGGAATGCCTAATTGAGACTGGAACCAAAAACTAGAATAGCCAGATGGAAGGAATAGATACACAAAGACCCGTATGCAGCCAGTGTGTACCGGGCATATTCCAGGAACTATAAGAGCATGTGGCCAAGAGCAAAGGGCTCAGGCTGAGGGGAGAGGGGAGTGCAGATCAGGTAGGGCCTTGTAGGACATTATAACAACTTTGCCTTTTACCCTAGGTGAAGTAGGGAGACACTGCAGAGGAACACATTAGACTTATGTTTTCAAAGGATCACTTTGGCTGCTGGTTGAGAACAATCTATATGGGTCAAAAACAAAAGAAAGGAAACTATTTGGGAGCGTATTGCAGTAATACAGTGAGAGAGGACAGTGGCCCAGAGCAGGGTAGTAGCAGGAGGGAATGAGTGGTGGCTGGGTTCTGGATATTTCGAAGGCATATTTAACAAGATCTGCTGACGGAATGGATGTGGTATGTCAAATAAAGTCAGGTTTTCTGGCCTGAGCAAGTGGGAGGACTGAATCTCTATTAGTTGAGATGAAGAAAGCCACAGGTGGAACAGATCTAGGATGGGCAACAGAGAGCTCAGTTTTCATACGTGTTGGTTACAACATATGAGATATCCAAGTGAGATATCAAATCGTCAGATGACTATTGGACACTACCGCTGGAGAGGAAAATCGAGCTGGACATCGTTAGTTACCTCGACGGGATGTGAGGCATACAACTGAGCCCCTCCAACATTAAGGTAACCTCCAAAATTACCAGAGCAGTTAGCCTTGTTCGTTCCCTCACTCTCCAGAATCAGCACTAGTTGAGGCTTGCCTACTCCAAGTGGACCTCAGTCCTTTTTCCACCACTTGAGAGTTTTTAAAGGCACCTTACAAATACAGTAGAATAAGGCACTACCTCCAGGAGGAGGTTCTGCAGCTAGACTGGGAAGACGAAAAGGTGGGCCCCGCTCAGTGTGTTTGTTAAGTTACACCTGGTCTGAGAAAGGGAACGCAATGGTCTGTCTAAAAGTCAGAAAGCCAAAGAACATTCATCTGTACAAGACAGATATCCTCATTCTCACTATAAAGAAAACAGTAGGAAACCAGGGAAAGGGGAAAGTATGTATGTATGCAACCCATGCAAACTTGCTGACCACATAACACTGAAAACCTACATAGAATAGAAAGATAATATTTTATCTATATCTGCTTCTAGTGTAACAGTTTAGAAGCTACAATGGAAGAAAAATACTATACTGAGAATTAGCAAAACTATCATAGAAGTTTTCAATAAACAGTGGAATAAATTGAAAGCAAGTCTTCCCTAGAAAGAACATCATTATTTAAGAGTCAAGAGTGTTTCTATTTGCTTACGAAATTAGGGATTTAAAAACTCCTTGCATTAGAGAATTTTAAAACAGCTGCCGTAGAACAATCAATGCCCATGTTGGCGTTCTCTTCCAGCTATTTTCAGTTCCTGCCTTTTTCTGATGTACTCTAGAAACTGCAAAGAAAAGACTTTATTCAAGGTTTAACGGAATAACTAAGAAATAACACTGAATTTTTCCTAAGTGTTCTCTGTACTGAGAGCTACTTACAATTACAGCACCCCTGCTGCACAGGTCTATTTTCAACACTAATGTCCTTTCCATAATTTTCCATTTCCTACATGGTTTTGCGTTAGTTGGTCTCTCATTCAGAAGCAGAACTGAGCAACAGCAAATGATGCATCATGTCTAAAACTATAGATGAAGAAAAGATACATATACTAGGATCAAGTAGCTAAGTAGGAAAGGTTTATCCTTTAAGTCATGCCAAGGAAGTCCAGAGTTACACCCTCTCCCTGCTTCCCTTTGAAGCAGAGAAGGTTTTTTTTTTTCCCCAGAAAAGCTTCTCACAGTGTAAAAGCTGCCCTTTTTAAAAATACCTGGAGTTACTTTCCCAAGTTTCTTTCACTTTTAAGTCTTTACTCAACTCTACAGTCCACAACCAGTCTGAATTGATTTTGCTATTGTTATCAAAAGTCACTCTAAGTAGTTGAGGTTTGACTCCAGGGCACTGCAAGGATTTATATTTGATAATCCCAAAACCTTCCTTCAATGACCGACTTCTACAAATTCCCAGATGTGGACAAAGTTGGCTTCTCTGATGAGATGGCTTTCTAATTCTGTCTAAGAGCACCGCACTAGCAATAACCAATTCTCGGAGCATAAAAAAGCACCCTAACGAGGCTGTGTCCCTTAAATAATCAAGATTTCATAATCAAGCAAACATTTAAACCTACTGCAATAATTTTGAGGACACCATAGAAATGAGCTATTATTTATTTAGATATGTATTGTTTGCTGCAGAACAATGATTTTTAATGGAAAGGGAGGAAAAGATCAGAATACCCTAAGCAGTTTTTCTAAACTATGCTAACCACCACCCCCTTCATGTGAGGAGTCAGGCAAGCCCTTTTTAGGAGTAGATATATCAGAATGACAGCATCTGCAGGGGTAGGGTGAAAGGCAGCTAGGCGTGATTTAAAAAAAAAAAAAACAGGTGATGTAATATGCCCCACCACCCACAGACCTCCCACCCCAGGAGACTCATCCTGGATTGAGAACAAGCACAATCGAAAATATGGGTTGTTTTTGTTTTTTAGAGTTTTCTGCTGGAGATGATGCTATAATTCATGTGAATGATCCAACTATAAAACTGAACAGTCAACCAAAGACATGTTCACATGCAGGATACAAATACTTGGCCCCTGGGTAGTCCCCCTCTCTGTTCTCCCCTCAGCCGATTCACCTCAAAAGCCGCAAGACTCCCCTGCTTGCAGTGAGTCACCCACCATTACTCACAAATTTCTGCCAAGTTCACGTCAGCAGCAGTTCTTCTCAAAGTCACCATCCTTGCTGTACTACTTCAAAGTTTCTCCATGACTTGATAACATTTCTTCTCTTTCTCTGCTATCTTCCCAGCTGAACTTGCACACATTGCTCTCATGCCCAAGTACAAAAGCCCAAAGTAGATTCAACCAGAAGTGATAGCTGAACCACCCTACAGTTTCTCAATAAAATAGTCTCACATCCTTTACCTCAACCAAACAACTACGATTACTTGGGGACTGTGAAATAGAGGGCTTTCTTCATTGGAAATATGTTTTGGTTTGTGGTGGGGCTGTGGTTTCGGCTTTTATAATCAGCTAAAGGCAAACAGACACACTACAAATTTTCTTCAGATGTTCAGAATTTAGACTTTTATTAGATAAGGAGCCAGCAGACTAACTGATCTACAAACATATGGTCATATTAGCAAATAAATATAGCTTATTTTAAAAGTTAACACTGGGCCAGCAGGTGGCATGGTGGTTAAGGCGCTGGATGCCCACATGGCTGATTACAGGTCTAGCCCCAGACCTGGTGGCTTGCTTTCTCACTTATTTTCTCTCTCTCTCTCCCGCTCTCTCTGACTCACTCTCTCTCTCTCTCTCTCTGGTGAGAGCACATACCCTACAGAAAATTAAATGATAATAATAAATAAAATTAAATAATTCTTAAAAGAATTTAACATATCCCCTAAACATATACTACCTTTGATCTTAGCCAAAAGGCTGATAAGTGATTACTCTACAAACATAAAAGGACCTAGATTAAACCTTCAGTATGAAGATCCTTAGAATTTAAAATGAAGTCTTTTGTGAGATAAAAATTTCCTACCTGGGGCTGATAGGTGGTGTGGTAGATAAGGTGCTAGATTCCCATATGGTCAACCATGGGTCAAGTCCTAAAACTGGTGAGTTTGCTTTCTTACTTTCTCGCTTTCTTTCTCTCTGTTAAAATTTTAAAAATAATAACAAAAATAAATCTTGAAACAAAAAAGAAAACTTCCTACCCTGCATCAAGCCACAAAATCCCTTACAGACAATATCCTAATAGTACCACTGTATACACTAGTTCTAATATGTCTGTTATTAAAAGTTTTATTTCTGGGGCCCAGCAGATGGTGTAGTGATTAAGTCACTGGACTCCTACAGAACTGACTGCATTTCTAGTCCTGGACCCTCTGGCTTGAAAATCATGCTGGGCATTTGTGCATGCATTCCCAAAATCCCAACAGGTGAATGGAGAAGAAGGGATTGCGTGTGGCCATACCCCTTGAGGGATGATTTCTCACTTTCCCTCTCTATGTATCTGTCTGTCTCTTTCTCTCTGGTGAGCACATGCACCCTATGGCAAAGCTGCATTTCTGATTTTCCAGAGCTAGAAAGGAAACATCTAGAAAAGCTAGAAATGACCGGATTTACTATAACAAATTAGCAGTTAAAAACCAGAACTGTGATTCTATACAAGTGCAGAAAGAGGTCTAGCTACCACCCCTTTCCTCTCCCTAGGTCTTGGATATGTGGCTGTAAGTTCAGTGTGTGGGGAAGCACTGGCAGGAGGAGGTGGCTGGGATGTCTGAGGTGGAGAGGTTGATGGAAGTTGGAGTATAATTGCTCTCTGATAGTAGAACAATAGAGCTGTAAAAAGCTCTGCTTCAGTTCAATGCTGTTCTCTCTCCCTCTTTCCTACATGACAAACAGCACAATTAGGCACTTTCTGTCCTTGACAGTGACTCTTACCAGAAAGGGACCAGGGTAAAAGAACGCCTTATGCAAGATCGATCTTGTTAAGAATATTGTATAAACAATTAACCAAGCAATGTCAGAATGAGATATCTCTGAGATGCTCAAATTGGAAAAAAGGAGATTGATGATCCATTTCACCATTTCCATGTCTTTCCTATTTTTCATTTTCCTAGTATCACTATCACTTAGTAAGTATAAAGGGACAGCAATATGACTGGCAATTCCATTACTGGACTACATTTTCCGTGCGTGAAAAAGCACTAGAAGAGAACCAGAGTCAAGTGGACGGTCTGACTTACAGTCCAGTCCTGCAAAATACTAACCTTGGATCAGTTACTTAGCCTCCCTAGGCTTGTCTACTTGTGAAATTTATTTTACAAACACATCTAGAGTGAAATGTAATACAAAAGTCTAAGATAACACCACCTCATCTACTTACCTCAGGAAGCCAATTTGGCATTAACCAATATATCAATGTAGGGACCAGCAGATGGCGTAACGGTTATGACATTGGACTCCCACGAAGTTGATCATGGTTTGAGTCCTGGACCCAGTAGCTTAAACTCATGCTGGGTGCGTGTTCATGCATGCCAAAAAAATTTTGAGAGGAGAATGGAGAAGGGATTGTGGCGTGGCCATGCTCCCTAGAGGGTAATTTCTCGCTTTCTATCTCTGTCTCTGTCTCTTCAGTGAGCACACACACCCTATAGCATAAATCTCTCTCTCAAAAAAAAGAAAGAAAAAAATATATAATATAGATCAATGTAAACATTAAATTCAGGAAAAAAATACTGGGGTTAGAGATAACTATGGATTTTATTGGCCTTCCTCATTTTTAATTGGAACATTCATTTCAGGATTATTAGTAATACTCAAAGTGACCCCAGCTACTAATAAATATAATATGTAAGGACTGCTTAGGTACCCACTGCAAACCTTGTACAATACTAAGCAGGATGAGGAACAGAAGGGAAGCTGAACCAGGATCCTTCTCCAGCTACCATCTAACTGGGAAAGCACATCCAAAACCATCAAAGAGTGGCAAAAATTCCATACAAAGGTGCAAGATAACCAATTATAAACCCTATAAGAAGATAAAAAAGAGCGAGATGAGTTAGAGTAAATAGGAAAGATTTTATGAAGGAGATTGGGACTCTAACTGGGCCTTGGAGAAACTCCAACTTGCTTAACGAGAGATAGAACAGAAGCAGAGAAAAAGGCTAGAGAATTCTGGTTTGTTTAAGGCAGAGTTAATCCTGGGAGGTTCAAGTATATAAAGATCTTGGATGTATATCATCAGGTCAAAATGACGGAGGGCTGTGACTTGAATATCTGACTTTAATAAGTCATTTCCAGTGACTAAGATGTTCGAGGATTAAAATATAAGTAGACCGAGAAGGGAGAGGAGAACACATAGAATTCAAGAGCAGACCACTGAGAGCATTCAGGTATCAAATGTTGAAATCCAGGACCAGCAGATAGCGTAATGGCTATGTCACTGGACTCCCAGGTAGTCAACCACAGTTGGAGTCCCAGACCCAGTGGCTTAAACTCACACCAGATGCTTGTGCCTAAGATCCCGAGAGGAGAATAGAGAAGGGATTGTGGCATGGACATCGCCCCTGAGGGGTGATTTCTCGCTTTCTGTCTTTCAGTTTTTCTCTGTCTTTCTGGCGAGTGCATGTGCCCTGTAATAAAAACATCTCCCAAAATAAAGATGAAATCCATTCATTAGAATACACAGTCAGAATACACACTTGAAACAAAGACTATATAGTTCCTGGGGACTGGTAAAATGCAGAGATTAAAAAAGAGAGAAATCAAAGACTATTCTAATATTTTTGGTATCAGGGGCCAGAAAAATGGTTATCCCATTGAAGAAGGGAAGATCTTATAAAGAGAATTTGATTTGAGAACAAAAGAATGTGAACTCAGTTTTAGATATGTTAAGTAGGAGGTATAAGCTAAGTGTAGATACTCTTAGAAGCTTAAAATTCCAGACCAAAGCACACAAAGAGAACCCAGACTTAAGATACAAATAGTGCTATACCTTAGAGATTAATAGTTGATTGAAAAGAATTGTCAAGGCCTACTTCAGTGAGGAACAGCAACTGATCATAAATAGTAAGAAAAAAAGAAAAAAAAAAGGCTTAAAAAATAACAATAATAATGAGAGACCTACACCATAAGGTGGTTGACAAGATTAAGAGAAATCAAGTACCAAAGTATATAAATCACATTTAGCAACCAAAAATCTAGAGAAGGAATCCACAAGAGTGGTGCCACAGAAAGCAAGGGCTTGATTTTTCAAGGCAGGATAAGTGAAAGGAACTAGTCAAAGGTGTACTTCAGCAAATGTCAATAGTCTGAAATGCAGCCAAATACAGTGTAAAGCACACGGGAAGTATACGGACTTGCTCACTACAGTGGTTACCTCAGCAGGCAAAAATCGCAAGAATGCCTTTGGATTTGCTGTTCCCCCTACCTGGAATGCTATTCCCCCTTTCTGGACTCAGCTCAAATATTATTTTGTCAAAGATGCCCTGACCCTATGGAAACTATCACTCTCTGTTTCTCACTATTCTCTACCCTCTTA